GTGTGTGTGTGTGTGTGTGTGTGTGTGTGTGTGTGTGTGTGTACGTGTGTGTGTGTGTGTGTGTGGGGTGTGTGTGTGTGTGTGTGTTTGTACTCACCTTTTTGTGCTCACCTATTTGGGGTTTTGCAGGGGTCGATTCACAGCTCCTGGCCCCACCTCTTCGCTGATTGCTACTAGGTCCTCTCTCTCACTGCTCCATGAGCTCTGTCATACCTCGCCTTAAAACTATGTATGGTTCCCGCCTCCACTACGTCACTTTCTAGGCTATTCCACGGCCTGACTACTCTATGACTGAAGAAATACTTCCTTTAAAATCCCTTTGATTCATCTGAGTCTTCAACTTCCAATTGTGACCTCTTGTGTCTGTGTCCCGTCTCTGGAACATCCCGTCTTTGTCCACCTTGTCTATTCCGCGCAGTATTTTATGTCGTTATCATGTCTCCCCTGACCCTCCTGTCCTCCAGTGTCGTCAGGCCGATTTCCCTCAACCTTTCTTCGGAGGACAATCCCCCTACTCTGGGACTAGTCTTGTTGCAAAACCTTTGCACTTTCTCTAATTTCTTGACGTGCTTGACTAGATGTGGATTCCAAACTGGTGCTGCATACTCCAGTATGGGCCTGACGTAAATAGTATACAGAGTCTTAAACGAATCCTTACTGAGGTATCGGAACGCTATCCGTAGGTTTGCCAGGCGCCCGTATGCTGCAGCAGTTATCTGATTGATGTGCGCCTCAGGAGATATGCTCGTGTTATACCACCCCCAGATCTTTTTCCTTGAGTGAGGTTTGCAGTCTTTGGCCATCTAAACTATATTGTGTCTGCGGTCTTCTTTGTCCTTCCCCAATCTTCATGACTTTGCATTTGGCAGGGTTAAATTCAAGAAGCCATTTGCTGGACCAGGCTTTTAGCCTGTCCAGGTCTCTTTGTAGTCCTGCCTGATCCTCATTCGATTTGATTCTTCTCATTAACTTCGCATCATCTGCAAACAAGGACACTTCTGAGTCTATCCCTTCCGTTATGTCGTTCACATATACCAAGAACAGCACAGGTCCTAGGACTGACCCCTGTGGAACCCCGCTTGTCACAGGCGCCCACTCTGACACCTCGTCGCGTACCATGACTCGTTGTTGCCTCCCTGTCAGATATTCTCTGATCCATTGCAGTGCCTTTCCTGTTATGTGTGCCTGATCCTCTAGCCTTTGCAGTAACCTCTTGTGAGGAACTGTGTCGAAGGCCTTCTTGCAGTCCAAAAATATGCAGTCAGTCCACCCCTCTCTCTCTTGTCTTACTTCTGTCACCTTGTCATTAAACTCTAGTAGGTTTGTGACACAGGATTTTCCTTCCCTGAAACCGTGCTGGTTGTCAATTATACACTTGTTTCTTTCCAGGTGCCCCACCACTCTCCTCCTGATGATCTTCTCCATGACCTTGCATGCTATACACGTTAGTGATACAGGTCTGTAGTTTAGTGCCTCATGTCTGTCTCCCTTTTTAAAAATTGGGACTACATTTGCCATTTTCCATACCTCAGGGAGTTGCCCAGTTTCAAATGATGTGTTGAAGATCTTTGTTAATGGCTCACACAATATCTCTGCTCCCTCTTTAAGGACCCATGGAGAGATGTTGTCTGGTCCCACCGCCTTTGAGGTGTCAAGTTCGCATAGCAGCTTCTTCACCTCCTCCTTGGTTATATGTACCTCATCCAGCACTTGCTGGTGTGCCCCCCTGTTCTGATTTCCTGGAGTTCTACTGGTTTCCACTGTAAATACCTCTTTAAATCTTGTTTTGAGCTCCTGACATACCTCTTGGTCGTTTCTTGTGAATTCCCCATCACCCTTCCTCAGTCTGATTACCTGGTCCTTGACTGTTGTTTTCCTCCTGATGTGGCTGTACAACAGCTTCGGGTCAGTCTTTACTTTTGATGCTATGTCATTTTCATATTGTCTCTGAGCATCCCTTCTTATCTGTGCATATTCGTTTCGGCTGATTTCTTTATTTTCCTGAGTTCTCTGTCTTCTGTACCTTTTCCATTCTCTAGTACACCTAGTTTTTGCCTCCCTACATCTTTGGGTGAACCAAGGACTCGTTCTGTCCTTCCCATTATTTCTGTTTCCCTTGGGAACAAACCTCTACTCTGCCTCCTTGCATTTTGTTGCTACATAGTCCATCATTTCTTGTACTGATTTTCCTGTCAGTTCCCTCTCCCACTGAATGTCTTGAAGGAAGTTCCTCATGCCTGAGTAGTTCCCCCTTTTGTAGTTTGGTTTTTCCCAGCCTATTCCTGCTACTCTCTCCACTTGGAGCTCAACTATGTAGTCGAAGCACAGAACCACATGATCACTAGCTCCCAGGGGCCTTTCATACATGATACCCTCGATGTCCGAACTACTCAAGGTGAATACAAGGTCCAGCCTTGCTGGGTCATCCTTTCCTCTCTCTCTGGTAGTGTCTCTAACATGTTGATGCATGAGGTTTTCCAGTACCACATCCATCATCTTGGCTCTCCATGTTTCGAGACCCCCATTGGGCTCCAGGTTTTCCCAGTCAATCTCCTTGTGATTGAAATCACCCATAACTAGTAACTTTGCTCCCCCGATGTGTGCTCTTCTGGCCACCTCGGCTAGTGTGTCGATCATTGCTCTGTTGCTCTCATCGTATTCTTCTCTTGGCCTCCTGCAGTTCTGTGGTGGGTTGTACATTACTGCAATTATCACCTTATGTCCCTCAGACTGGATTGTTCCTACTAAGTAGTCTCTTTCGCCCGTGCCATCCATTCCTTCCATTTTCTCAAAACCCCCCACTGGTTTTTAATGAGAAGTGCAACTCCTCCTCCCCCTCTCCTCCCTCTGTCTTTCCTGAGGATTTGGTATCCGGATAGAAAGATTGAATTTGTTATTACTCTGGTGAGTTTTGTTTCTGTGAGTGCTATTATGTCTGGGGATGTCTCTTTGATTCTTTCGTGCCACTCGTCATAGTTGTTTGTTATTCCATCTGCATTTGTATACCACACCTTCAACTTCTTTTCTAAGACTGTGGTCTGGGAGGTATATTGGGGTTGGGGAAGTGGGAGACCTGGTAAGGAACTATGGGTTGTTGCTGTGGGGGTGGAGTTTGTAATGCAGTGGGTGGGGGCATTGGATGTGGCATGGGTGTGTGTGTGTGTATGTGTGTGTGTGTGTGTGTGTGTGTGTGTGTGTGTGTGTGTGTGTGTGTGTGTGTGTGTGTGTGTGTGTGTGTGTGTGTGTGTGTGTGTGTGGGTAAGTAACCGTAACAGCTGTGAGGTAAAGTGTTAATGGTGATTTTTTTAGCACACATGTAATATTAAAATTTTGAAAAGTATTGCCTAATGACAGCCGAAACCAATTTATTAAATGTTGCTTTAATTGAACGATATATTTTTTAATTATGCTTACATTAAATTTACAAGAATTAAGTCAAAAGCAAATTTTCTGTTTTGGTTACTCGCATAAAACACCCTTTTTTTGGGCCAAACTCGCCGGTTTGGCTTATTTTGCAGTTTTGAAAATAATATGAATATTTCCTTTGGTTTATATAAATTAGATTCATTTATAATTAATAAAATGTGGGAAGAATTTAATAATACATTGGACAAATAATAAATCTTAATTCTTGGGTAGAGTACTTGAGTTGGGCAAATATTTTGCTAGTTGGATGTCGTGAAGGACCTGCCTAGTTAGGCCAGTGGGCCTACTGCAGTGTTCTTCGTTTCTTATTAGTCGGGTGTCGTCGCTCGTCAGGTGTTGCTTTTTTGTGGGATGTGATGGTGAGGTGTGATCTCGACCCTTTATATGGCTTCCTTTGATGTATTGATTTTAAAGTTCCTTGATAATGTGAGAAGTCACGAATTCTCTTGTAATTTCACTATTCTGTAACAGTGGTTGTTTTGTATATTCTGATATCACCTGTTTATTGTGATCTTATTTTTTTAAATTTTATTTCAGGATTCAGCGAGTACTCCACTAGTCCTACCCATCGCACCGCCTCCAGCTTACGATACGTCCAAGTCTTCTCTCACACGTGACATGATAGCTATCGTTCCCATGGTGGCGGAAACGGTGTGCATCACGCCTAACCCGTCTCTGCACACTCGCACAAGTCCGCCCGACCAGTACCCGTCTAAGTTCTTCCCTACGACTTTTAGCAGCGATCACTTGGAGAGTGCAGTGTAAGGGACGAATACAAGACTCTACCATGTACAGAGAGTTATTCATTACGCTTTGGGACTCCTAACCCGCCAGAGAAACTCAGTGGAGACACAGTGATAGCTAACCTGGGTCTCTGAACAATGTTGAGCTTCTCGTCATTATGATCAACATCTGCTAATGTAGTTGGTTGCATGATGCTTAACTGTTTATATTTTGCATAACAATGTTTGTACGTAAACATAGACGTTTGGTATTTGTATTAGATATAAGTTTTTTAAATATCTCTAATATGTAAGTGAATGGGCGACAAGTACAAATAACTTTTTGAACTCTAAATAGGTGAACTATTAACATTAGGTATAAAGTCTGGAAAACATCATCATTCGGCTCAAACAATTGAACAAGATGTCACTAGCAACTGGCTATCATAACAGCACTTCACACTCATCAACACAGTGGAGGTAACAGCAACACAACACTTGACTCAGTAATACAGCTGAGAAGAGCTTCTCTACTCTACAAGAGGTTTTTTTTTAGTCAAATTAGAGAAGTGAAGATAATTTTCAAACACCATAACTACGTCACATGACGCTCTGTAACACAGTCACACAGTCATGCAGTGTCTGAGTTAGGTTGGAAATTGCTCAGAATGGTATTTTATACCATAACTACAGCAGACATTGCTCATTGCAGCTCTCGTTCCAGACATTGTTGCCACTAACAGAGTAAAGTGTCATGTCAGTCAGCAACTTTATATCTTTCAGTTAATCATCTCAGATGCATGTTTTGAACGTGTATTATCATGGACACACACAAACACACACACACACACAGACAGAGACACACACACACACAACACACACACACACACACACACACCACACACACACACACACACACACACACACACACACACACACACACACACACAAACACACAAACACACACACACACACACACACACACACACATATACATTCACAGAGACGAGTCACAGGGATGTTAGGAAGTAATACTTCAGTCATAGAGTTGTCAGAAAGTGGAATAATCTGGAGAGTAATGTATTGGAGGCAGGATCCATAAACAGCTTCAAGAAGAGGTACGATAAAGCTCATGGAGCAGAGAGAGACTGAACCTAGTATTGACCAGCGAAGAGGCTGGGCCAAGAGCTGTGACACGACCCCTGCAACCACAATTAGGTGAGTACAATTAGGTGAGTACACCCATTTATATATATGTCTTGCCGAATAGGTAAAATTGGTTAATTAGCAAGAAATCCTTTAAAATTAAGTTCTTTCTAAAATTTTCTGTTATACGTTTAAAAATATTTTTTTTCATTGATGGTAATATAAAAAATTTAATTATTTTGTACCAAAAGAACCTTAGAAAACTTACCTAACCTTATTATAACAAGCTCAGTTTAATTTAGCCTAATTCAACTAAATATATTTTACATAAGTTTACAATAATTTAGTAATAAACACGCTGAATATATTTCATCGTTAGGTTCAGAATGATTTTTGCGAAATTATTACATACAGGTATTGTCGCTTTTCTTATTAGAAAATATTTTACAGTTTCAGGTTGGTAAATAAATTAGGAAGTGGTATAGGCAAACTCAATACACAGTTTCAAGAAAAGGCACGGTAGGGCTAACTTGACCAGAAACTAATAATGCCAGCGATTGTGGTTTGAAAGACGGAGCCAGGAGCTAAGACCCGACATCTCAAATACAACTCGGTAGGAACACACACACATATTAGCCTAACACACACACACACACACCTTAGGCTAATATTCGAGTATAGAGCACCAGTATGGAACCCTCACCTGACAAAAATGAGAGCAGTTCTGAAGGTAAGATGTAAGAAGAGGTGAAGGAACTTAACCTGACGATGATAGAGAAAAGGAAGATTAGGTGTGATATGATAACCACATACAAAATACCGAGTGGAAGTGATTATATAGTTTAGCAGGAAAAGACTATTCGAGAAGCGAAAAACAGGAACACAAGGGAACAGATGAATTGAAAACATAGGTGATTCACAGTGATGTTAGGATTTATATTTTCAGAGAGGTTGATGCAGAATCCATACATAGCTTTAAGAAGACGTACGATATAACTCTTGAAACCAGGAGAGAGTAAACCTAATAGCGACCAGCAAAGAGCCACGGCCAGGAGCTGAGGTTCGACCCTTGTAACCACATATAGGTGGCTACACACCTATTCGCATTTGTATGAATATATACGTGGAGATATAATCTATAGAACTGTGTAGGGACGCACAGCCTCTCAGAGAAAAGAATAAATGTTCCTTTGAGAAGTTTCTTCTTCGCTCATGATCTTCATTTGATAATAAAATACATTTAAAAATACATTATGATGGAGAACATTATGCGTAGCATCGCAGAGACTATATCTCGAATACTACATCCTATTTCCCTGCAGAATATCGTGTGCCCATACTGCTGCAGGTATTTACTCTCTGGATCGCTACACTGAATCTCTGGAAAAGGAATCTCTGGATTCCTTGGCTTCCATGATGAGTTTCTCATGCAGGTTTTTCAGGAAGGATACTGCACATTTGCGCCAGTCTAAGAGCTTTAACATATCCCACCTCAGCTCATTTCCAAGCCCATCCCTGTCCAAGGTAGTCTATTACCCTGTGGAATGCGACCCACAACAGTCGACTAAAACTCGTGTACCAACCTACTTCTTGGCAGGTGAACAGGGGCAGTAAGTGTCAGGAAACATATTGTACATTTCCATCCATGGTGGGGCTCGAACCACAGACCTTCCGTATGTTAGTTGAGTGTGCCACCAAATGACTCAAATGTTGATTTTCTGGGTATCCCTAAAACTTGTAGCACCATTTTGAACGCAGGTCTTTCCAGAGTAGTATGGTGACTCGGGCCCATCTGGCTTCGTTCTGCCCTCAGTACGAGAGGTTCTTGTTCTGCTGGCCAGCGGTCTGTGGTGAGACTTTGCTTAATGATGTCATTGACCTCTACGGGTCTAGCATTCTTCACTTCTTCCTCATGATAGGCGAGACCATGGAACCCAAATTGATCACTTGACGCCCTGCCATAAATGCATCTGTCTGATGAGTATGGGTGAGGCTAAACGAAAAATTACAGTAATCCGAATGGCCTGAAGACTGGGATAAGCGCCCAAGGAGGAAATTAGGGACAACCAAAAGGACATCTCCAGAATGTAACGCCTTCACCACTAGGAGACGAGCTGTGTCCTTACTTGTTGCGCATTGAGCGATTTTCTACACGAAGAGTCTTTCCGAATGGGACTGTTCTTGATCATTGGGGAGAGCTGGTTTTCTTGAAAAGTCCGCAAGGCCCAATGAACTTTGGGTAGTGAGCTCCTTTGCCATTTCTCAAGCGTTCTGGGACTATCTCCTTTACTGGTGCATTGGATGCTATACGCGAGAAGAGAAATGCAGGTAATGCTACCTGTGTTGCCTTGCGCACCTCTATCCCTCGCAGTAGCACTGGAAGTTTACCTCATCTCACTGGTGATCCTCCAGTAACAGATTCAGTGTCTTCCCGAAGACTGATCTCAGTACTGCTTCGTATTCACTCACTATATTACACTGTGGAATAAAGGTTCACACCTCAAGAAATAGGTTAGCCTAGTAAGAGTTAGACTCCTTGTAATGTGATACAGGGCGTCGTGAGCATCCAAAGCCCTTATCCACTCCTCCATCCTCTTCAGGTCGTTCAGTTTGTTTTCGAAAACTTTTGAAATAAAACGACAGAGTTTGCAACTTGAAATACGACATACCATGAAAACGAATAATTTAAATAATATTTACACACTTCTTCCCACATCCGTGTAGACAGGATTCAAATCAATCAACTATGCTGTGAAAGGTAGTCTTAACGTTATAATTTATCAGTAATAATATTTCTGTCATCACTGAGCAGATGTCCTTTTGCTAGAGATTTGGGAATGAAAAACACTGCTTACTTAACTGTTCCGCCCGTACCCCTTAATTGATTGCTGCCGGCAGAACCGCATCACTCAGCCCTCGGCTGTGACAACCACTAATGCAAAATAATTAATTTCTATTGGATAAAATAAGTTAAAAAATGCTGAGTGTTGCTAATTGTCTAACAAAAACCTCAAACAAATACCTCATCTGTGTCATAAATAAAGCTTATAGACGTAATGAAAACGGGTTTTAATTTAACAACCTTTCTGTTCTGTTTTGCAGGGTTAAGGACGGGAAGACTTGATAGTAGAATTATAACCTCTTCTGTAGACTCAGTACTTGATGGAAGTATACTGACACAAACTTCTATTGTAGACTCAGTACTTGATGGAAGTATACTGACACAAACTTCTGCTGTAGGCTCAGTATTTGATGAAAGTATACTGACACAAACTTCTACTGTAGACTCAGTACTTGATGGAAGTATACTGACACAAACTTCTACTGTAGACTCAGTACTTGATGGAAGTATACTGACACAAACTTCTCCTGTAGACTCAGTATTTGATGGAAGTATACTGACACAAACTTCTACTGTAGACTCAGTACTTAATGGAAGTATACTGACACAAACTTCTATTGTAGACTCAGTACTTGATGGAAGTATACTGACACAAACTTCTACTGTAGGCTCAGTATTTGATGAAAGTATACTGACACAAACTTCTGTCGTAGACTCAGTATTTGATGGAAGTATGCTGACACAAACTTCTGCTGTAGACTCGGTACTTGATGGAAGTATACTGACATATACACAGAGGGATAGTATCACTGTTCCAATTGTTACTGAGAATCTATTAAATGTACTACTGAAAGAGCTGGAATCAATGAGCATGCTGCTGTAAACTATAGGAATTCATTTGACTTACAGAGACAATAACGTGAAGCAACCTGGTCTGCATATAACTAATAGCTTCAGGGCCCTAAAGATTTCCAATCAGTATTATCAACACTTGGATAAAGACACAGATGTGACTTTATCCATCGTGTCGGTAAGTTATACTGATTACTTCCATGATCAAAAGTTAGTGACGGAAGGACACTACACGACACCACAAGAAGACTGACTCTACAAACAAGGCATGTGAAGAATAGCTTTGGAGAGGAGTGTCCAAGGTCGTAGAGATAGTGTCAGGGCTTAACCCAGCAGCTAGGCGCTCTTGGGGCAGACTGGAGAAAACAGGAGGAGCAGGCTCAGTTGCAGCGATCTTGTGGTAGTTGGAGGTCTTCAGTCTTCAGAATCTGGTAGCAGGCCAAGTCGCAGGAGGGCAGACAGATAGGAGCATCACAGGGCAGCTCACTGGTGGGTGTTATTGTAGTGGAGCCTTTTTCATTTTTTTTGAAGCTGGTTCTGGAGAGGTGGTATAGTTTACTTTGGTTACCAGTGGTGAAACGTAGAGGCTTGATGAACTCAAGAACTTGGGTAAGTGTGAAGTGATGGCTTGCAGGCATAATTGATTGTTCCAGCACCGAGACTTTTGTAGAGCTCAGTGCAAGTCAGCATTCGATGGAGAGATGTAGAAGGTAAGGTTTTCATTTGAGGGTGTAGTGGAGTCATCATTATCATCTTCGGAAGTAGATTCAGTAGGCGAGTCTACAATGGTGCTGGCAAGTGACTGTGGGTTGGCAGGAAAAGTGGAGCGTTGTATCAACTAGTTGGGAAACGTGGGAGGCGGCGGTTGAGGCAGAATAAAAAAATAAATATATATATATATAATATAAATATATATAATATATATATATATATATATATATAATATATATATATATATATATATATATATATATATATATATATATAAATATATATATATATATATTATATA